GTCCAGGTGCACTTTCTATAGTCCAGGTGCACTTTCTATAGTCCAGGAGTACTTTCTATAGTCCAGGTGTACTTTCTATAGTTCAGGTGAACTTTCTATAGTCCAGGTGAACTTTCTATAGTCCAGGTGCACTTTCTGTAGTCCAGGTGCACTTTCTATAGTCCAGGTGTACTTTCTGTAGTCCAGGTGTACTTTCTGTAGTCCAGGTGCACTTTCTATAGTCCAGGTGTACTTTATGTAGTCCAGGTGCACTTTCTGTAGTCCAGGTGCACTTTCTATAGTCCAGGTGCACTTTCTATAGTCCAGGTGCACTTTCTATAGTCCAGGTGTACTTTCAATAGTCCAGGTGTACTTTCAATAGTCCAGGTGAACTTTATTTAGTCCAGGTGCACTTTCTATAGTCCAGGTGCACTTTCAATAGTCCAGGTGTACTTTCAGTAGTCCAGGTGTACTTTCTGTAGTCCAGGTGTACTTTCTGTAGTCCAGGTGTACTTTATTTAGTCCAGGTGTACTTTCTATAGTCCAGGTGCACTTTCTATAGTCCAGGTGCACTTTCTATAGTCCAGGTGTACTTTCTATAGTCCAGGTGTACTTTCTATAGTCCAGGTGTACTTTCTATAGTCCAGGTGCACTTTCTATAGTCCAGGTGCACTTTCTATAGTCCAGGTGTACTTTCTATAGTCCAGGTGTACTTTCTATAGTCCAGGTGTACTTTCAGATAGAAAACGTTAAAATAGAAATAATTACAAATGCAAACAGAAAAAAAAAACCTGGAGTATGACTTTCTATAACAGTTTATTGTTGTTGCTGTTGTCCATTGTTGTCATCTTTCTTTGTTGAAATCAGGTATTTCTTGTAAATGAGTCCTCGAGGCTCAATGGGATTTACCGTCTAAATAAAGGTTGAATAAATGAAAACAAATACAAACAGGGAGAGTAGAGTAAGTAAAGACAGCAGCAGAGAGAGGAAATGTCAGTTTGTCCTTCAGCAATCTAAACCTATAGCAGCAGAACTAAGGGACAGCTCAGGAAACCAAGCTAACCCTAACTATAGGATTTATCAAAAAGGAAAGTCTTAAAACTGGACAATGTGTCAGCCTCACGGACAGAAACTGGAAGTTGGTTCCACAAGAGAGGAGCCTGAAAACTGAAAGATCTTCCTCCCATTCTGCTTTTGGAAACTCTAGGAACCACAAGTAAACCTGCAGTCTGAGAGTGAAGTGCTCTGTTAGGAAAATATGGAACATTAAGATCTGTAATATAAGATGGAGCTAGGTTGTTGAGAGCTTTGTAGAAGATTTAAAGTAAACCTGAGAATTGAAAGTTCCGCCTCCCATTCTACTTCTGAAAACTCTAGGAACCACAAGTAAACCTGCAGTCTGAGAACTGACAGCTGTAACATATTTCCATCAGTCTTTTTCTTTACCTGCTTTTGACTGTCCTGGTTAGCTGGTGCTTGTCTCTGACAGTCCAATTTGTGATTTTTTTCCTAAATGATGAAAAACATTTTGACAAGCAGGGATCAACAGCCCCCCCCAGCTCAGCTTTTCGTAAAAGCAGCAGATATTTATGTCTGATGAAAACTACGTGAAATGCGAGAAGCAACCCAAAGAGATGCAGACGCTCGTTCAAATTAGGACACATTAAAATATTAATTAAAATAACTTCCCAGGTACGTTTAATTTACCGTGCACGGCTTTGTCTTCCTGCACATAAATCAGCCCTCCCTAAATGCTGACCAAGCCTTAAACCACCCAGTTAAGAAAATGCAGGAATATGAGGCAGAAGACTGGATGAAACCAGAGTTCCTGCCGGAGACAACCACGATCAGGCAGTGCCACCAAGAGGCGGCGAACAGCAACGGTTTGTTCCAACAGGAAGACTCCAAGAAATATCCTCTGTAATCTGCTTAAAGTGCAGTGAACTCAGAACAGCATCTGGAAAACATCTTCACTTCTTAAAGAGAAATAAGGTTCATTATCTTAATATCCCTTCTTGTTATTGTCTAGTAAACAGTTGGTAAAATTCATACAAGTTTATAAACTGGCCTTTTTTTAATGCATGTCCTTTTTTTTTTTGTTATGATTGAAATCCAGTTGTACGATCAGTACCTGATGTTAGTTCGATTAATCAATTAGACGTAAAACAAACAGGCTGCTAAATGTGCCCTTGGCTTTTATTAACATGATAAAACGTCATGACATGAAGGACGAACGGTAACGAGCAGCGGTCCTGATCCACCGCCTCCATTCACACTTTATGTCTAAAGAAATAACAGAAGTTTTGGCTCAACGCCGTCCCCAAATGTCCAAAATCTGATTAAAGTCTGGGAGAAAAAATCTTTACGCTGTAAACAAACATCAAATCCTCTTTTTTTAAAGAAAAATTAATTTACAGAACTGTTAAAAGAAAAAAGATCCGACTTATGTACTAAAGTAAAAATAAAATTATATACTAGAAGCTCTTCAAGTTGAAAAATTCAGAATAAAAATAAGCTCCAACAGTTTGTTTTAAAAAATTTAGTGAGGAAAAAAATACAGAAAGTTTTAAAAGGTTTTAAAGGACAAGAAGTTATTTGTGATTACGAGCGACATGTTGGGACAAAAGTATGGAAGCAAATCAGTGCCCAGGTTCGAACATTTTAAAGACCGCACGATAAAAACGCCAAAACATTTTATAAAGTGGATATACGGACTGTATTTGTTTTTTGTCTTTGAATTAAACCATTTCAATTTTACTTTTCAGAATTATGACTTTATGTATGGAAGACCTTTGGTGCCATAAGTTTTAAAAAAAGGGGAAACAAAAGTTTTATTTTCATCACATTTTTCGGTTAAAAATTTTAACGGTTCCGGTTTTAAAGTTCAAAAAACTTTATTTTGTTTTTATTCCCTCTCTTAAAATTGGCATGCTTGATTGATTTTGCGGTTTACAATTCACCATCTAGAAATTTAGTTTTTGTGCTCGACAGATTCTGGAGCTGGTCCAACATAGAATTTTAAAGTTTTTACATTAAAGTGTTTTTTGACAAAACTTAAAAAATATATATATACAAAAAAAAAAACTGACACTGAAAAACATTAAATGTGGTTTAGTTGATTTTAAAGAAACTTAATTATATTTCATCTCTGCACAATTTAAGATTCAAGATCTGGTGACACTGATTTGCTTCCATATGAATCACTTTACACAACTTTCTTTTTTTGTAATTTATTTATATTAAGACACTTGTAACAAACACCTCACACAGTCTGGCTTATTAACGTCCCACCACGACTCTGAATAAAACAATAAAACTAAATTCTGACGAGTTTTACGTCTTGCAAGAAAACGCTTCAACGGACAGGAGAAAAAAAAAACTACTGGATTTCGTTTTAGAGTCGAAGTGCTCAACGGAAAAAAAAAAAAGCTAAAACTGTATTACAAGCAGGAAGAGTGGCGAGGATGACCGAGCGTAAAATAAGGCTTATTAAAAACAACAACCCTGAGTTAAAGAACATTTTTGGTCACACGGAAGTTGCGCGACCTTTAACCCCGATACCGGCGGTCGTTTCTTCGGTGAGTTTTTTTTTTCTGTTCAAGTTTTTGCACAAACGGAGGTCAAACTGGAGCAAAAACCGAACTCGGTCCGTCACTTCGGAGACACCTCAGTTCAAAAGTTACGAGTTTTTCTCGTGGCGGCTCCGCAGAAATAAAAACCGGACGTTGACGGCTCCTCCAGCTTCGCTCCGGTTCCGCCCCGTCGGGCTCACATGTTTTCGGCCTCTCTCCGCGGGCGCTCCCTGATGGTCTCCTGGGGTCCGCCCCGGGCCTGAGGGCGCCGCCGGATGCTCCGCCCAGTCGAGATGAGGTTGGCGTACCCGGGGGTGTGGGAGAAGGCGTAGGCCGAGCGACGGGACCCTCGGTTGCGCTGGAAAGCCGGAGGCTTCTTCTTCCTCTCCTCCTCTTCCAGCTCCATCTCGTACCTCTTCCTGTTCCTCTGCACCTGGAGGACGATGGGAAAAGGTTAAAGGTCGTGAACCTGAAATCGCCCACAACAAATCATTCATTCCATCAACCAACGATTTAAAGAAGAGTGGGCCAAAGTCCTCCACAACCATGAGGGACACAGAAACCACTGGAGGAGGCTCTACTGGACCTGGGTCAGGGACTGGAACCACAGCTGGTTCCTTCTACAGTTTTAGTCCAGAATTGTGTAAACGTGGTCTCACCTTGTCTCCGACTGAGGGCCAGATGGTTTTGTAGAGGAACTGGATGCAGACGACGGGCAGCAGACTGATGCCCACCGTCAGGATGATGGTCAACCACAGGTACGGCTGACGGAACGCGTTGGGCGCCGCGCCTACAAACAAACCAAGACAGGGTTCACTTTTTAACTCTTCTGACAGAAGGCGTTTGACGAGAACATTGAATCTCTAAGCCGCTACTTGGGGCTGAATTTTATGAAAACTTTGCGTCGATGAGGCGTAGAAACCAGCCGGGCTGGTGTCGGACTCACCTGTGAAGGTGAAAATAGACGGGAAGATGACGTGAATTCCGGCACTGTGGATGTCAAACATGATCCCGAAGTAGATGGCGATGCTGCCCAAGACGGCGAAGCAATTCACGAAGGTCCAGAACGACGTGTCCAGAGAGATCTGATCAACGAGAAGACGTTCAGTCGGCGTCTGCGTTTTTAACAAACGCGCTGCTCGGACATCGACTCACCTGCAGGTTGACGGTGAAGATCAGAGACGAGGCGGTGACCACGGCGAAGGACTGGTAGTCGGACGGAGCCTCGCCGTCCTGCCCCATGGTCTGCAGGAAGGCTCCGTACGGGATGAAGAAGATGATGAGCGAGACGAAGATGCCGTGGAATAAACTGATGAAGAAGTTCTTGTAGTTGAACAGCGTCCCCTGCTGCCCGGGGATGTAGAGTTTGGGAAACTTCAGGCTGAGTTTGTCGTTCACGTCCTGCCGAGGGAGGAAGGAGCGTTCAGATTGTTACCTGCTGCCTAAAGCTCCGACATCGTTCAACTTTCTTCAAACTCGAAACTGAAAACAAACGTTTGGACGTAAAAACTGTCGAAAAGTTTAAAACTGGAAACATTAAGAGGTCGTTTAAAAAACGTTTGGAGAAATTTAAAGTGAGTAACTTTAATCAAAGTCGTGACAGAAACTACAAATAAAAAATAATCCAACTTAAACTGGGATTGTGTAAAAACCTGGGGTGTCCCGATGCTAGGTGTTTTATTCAGATTGAGTACAAGTACTTCAGTTTGGGTACTTGCCAATACAGAGTAACTAATAAGTTACAACTTAAACACAATAACAGGGAACGGTCATGAACGTCTCCTGCGTTTATCGTAAAATGGCTCCAAACTAGGGACATTTTTAGTTTTTGTTACCGGTTACTTTAAAACTTGAAGAAGAAACGACGTCCAACATAAAAGTGGGGTTGGTTTGAAGTATTGGGGTGTTCCTGTGAGTACAAGTACTTGAGGCTGGTATCTGTCCCGATACAGATCCAAGTATCGGTATCAGGACGCCACTAGTAAAAACCGTCCTCCGTCCATCATCTTGTTCTGGAGTCAGCAGCTGGACCAGGGAGGTCCAGATGTCTCCCTCCACAACCGCTTCTGGGAGGACTCCAAGGTGTCCCCAGACCAGCTGAGAGACAAAGTCTGTCCAGCGTGTCCTGGGTCTCCTCCCAGTTGGAAGACCAGACATCTAACATTGAGGACATTTCTGCACAACGTGACCGTTCTATGAAACGGATCCCTAACAGAGTTCTGAGATGGAGTTAATCACAAAGCTGCTCCTCAGATAAATAATGTTAAATTATTATTTTATAGATGAATGTTTCTGTTCAGGCCCTGAGATGACTTCTGTTGTGACTTGGAGCTTTATAAATGAACTGAATTGAACAGATCCAGTTTGTACCTGATCCAGAAGTCCAACCAGAAGAACCGGTAAACTGCTGTAGGCCAGGTTGTACAGCGTGATGAACCAGTCCTCGTAGGCCACCTGCAACAAGGAAATACTCGTTTTAATGACGCTCGTCGGCCAGGAGGGAAGGATCTGTAGTCACACATAAAATGAATGACAAGAAGTAGTTTGAGCATCTCTGCACACCTGTGAGGAGTATCCACTGAAGAACGAGTACCAGAAATGGACCAGGGTGAAGGCGAAGTTCTTGAAGAAGAAGAAACGCAGGAACTTGCACATTCTGATGTAGGACCAGCGGCCGTGCACCAGCAGGAGGCGCTGCAGGTAACAGAACTGGGCGAAGGCGTAGTCGCTGGACATGACGGCCTGCATCCCCTCCTGGCCGCTGATGCCCACCCCGATGTCAGCAGCTTGAGGGACAGAGGACGAGGACACGGATCAGAGGAAACCCACGCAAAGACGGGAAGGAGAACAAGTCTATCCACGTCCTTACTCTTGATCATGTTGACGTCGTTGGCTCCGTCCCCGATGGACAGCGTCACGGCTTTCTTGTACTTCTTCACCAAACTCACCACGTTGGCTTTTTGTTTGGGCGTGACGCGGCAGCAGATGACAGCTTCACACTCGCAGGCCATGTCCACGAAGTCGATCTGCGAACAAAAAGACGCGTTTGTCCAACGACGCCAACACTGATGAGCTCCTCGTGCCGAGAAGTCAGAACGTTTGGTTTTACTTGTCTCCTTTCTTTTTCCTTGTCGTCCATTGGTTGTCCATCCTGAGGGTTGGTGGGAGCAGGTCGCTTTCCAAGACGGCGAAGACGAAGTCGGCGGCGTTTCTTCTTTTTTTCGTAAAGAATCTCGTTCTGAGGAAAACATTAAAACAGGTTTATTATTACTGTACGTAACCATTTAAGATCTCAAGACAGGAAGTCCGTACAGTCGGACATGCACCAGAGAGGATGGCATCACAGGGATCGTTGTCTGGTACCGTTGTGAATCAGTCACTTCAGACTTAAACAATGGGCTCAAAAACTGAACCAGCCATCCTCTGGTCCTGGACTCAGGTCTCAGGGGCAGCATCTTGAGCAGGGAGGTCCAGACGTCTCTGTCCACAGCCACCTCTTCCAGCTCTTCTGGGTGGACTCCAAGGCATTCCCAGACCAGCTGAGACATACATTGTCTTTGCATTGCAAGGTCCAGCCTGGCCCAGGTGTTCTCTGGCTCTACATAGCCTTGGTAGTATGGGCATGTGGGCAGGATCATAATAGCATGAACGCTCAAGACTCATGTGACGTCAATCTGCTGGTCAAATCTTTGGCAACAGTCGGCTTCTACGGTCTCTGGGTTCCAAAACTCAAGCTGGAAGTGGGCCAGACCTCCCAATGCAAAGACTCAGAACCCAGGCTGGGCTGACCCAGACCTTACAATGCAAAAGGGCTTATGGTCTCTCCAACATGTTCTGGGTCTTCCCCGGTGTCTCGTCCCAGGTGGAAATGCCTGGAACCCCCTCCCTAAAGAGGCGTCCGGGGGCACCGCCTGAACCATTAACACCTGAGCAGAAACGGATGTGTTTAAACCAAAACACATGAACTGATGACGCAACTAACGTTGGTTCTGCTTTACAAAGAACCATCATCATTTATGGTCACCGAGGAGAGAGGATCCAACTGGACGAGTTCTTAGTTGAAGAGGACCAATCCTGCCACCATTGTGGAGACACACCACTGTTGCCTCCTGACATGAAGGTTGTGGAGCCACTAGATTCAGGTCACCTCTGGCACTGTTCAGGGGACCTTAATGACAGACCTCCTGCATGTCTTACCCCTCCTGGACAGAACCCTGGTACAGTCCATCAAAATGTATATGAGCTCAGACAGACGGGGTTCTCCCATGGTCCTTCAATCATTTCCTAATCGTAATGGATCAACTCGGATGTCAACTTGGACTCAACGCTGATCTCCCAGGTCTCGACTTCCTGCAGCTGTGGACTGACTTGTTCCAGGAGAAGACCCGGTCTCACAGTGAATGGCTCAAGGTGCACCGCTACACCCTACAGGTTTTGGACCAGCACGTCCGGCCAACTCTTATGGATCTGGTCCAATACAGGAATCATCAAATACGACGGGTCGACCACCAACACACAGATTATTAAACCGTATCAAATATAACGAGTCTAACCAGCCATCCTCCGGTGATGATGAGAGCGTTTTTGCCCGATCCAGGAAAGAAAGGCTCTGACGGTTTCTTTTTGCCGGCTCGAATCGTCGATTGAGGGTTATTCCTCCTGTTGGCCTGACGGATCGTCAGCTTCTCACTGAAGACACGAAAGAAGACTTTGATCAGTTTTACATCAGCATGAAACATCGACAAACGTTTATAAACTAAACTTTTTAAGAAAAACTGAAGACCTCGCTCTACTTGTACAAGCACGGATCATATTGACGTATTTATGTCCGATACGAATCGGAACAAGCGACTTTATCGTCTGAACGTTTCTGAATCGTTCTCATCGGGATCAGTTTGTCGTCCGGTCATTTTTCTATTCGTTTGTCGTCCGGTCGTTTTTCTATTCGTTTGTCGTCAGGTCGTTTTTCTATTCGTTTGTCGTCCGGTCATTTTTCTATTCGTTTGTCGTCCGGTCGTTTTTCTATTCGTTTGTCGTCCGGTCATTTTTCAGCACGTAGCTCGTTCCACAATTTGTTCTCTCAACAGTTCATTTCTCCAAACGTTCGGCTCATTCTGATGAGACTTTTGGTATTTCTGCAACTTTGACTTTGTGTGAGACGTTTAGCCTTGTCGGCCATGTTTGTTCTTAAAGACAATGAATGGAGCTCTCTTGCTTCCAACAGTTTGTGCCGTGTAAAACTTTTTGCTGATCCTTTCAGCTGTTGTTCTGCTTTAGCTTCTTCAGCTTCTTTCTGCACATTTACCCTTTTAATGCTCCTTTCAGCTAAATTCAGTATTTCTAATTTTCAGACTTTTTAGCATTTTTCTGCTACTTTTTGTGCAAATTTTCTGCTTTTTTCCAGTAATTATAAAAATCTGATTATTTATGCTCCTTTCAGCCTCTTTCTGTAAGTTTCAATTGCTTTTTTATTTTTTTCAGCCACTTTTGAAGCTAATTTCAGCTTTTTCCCCTTCAGGTTTTTTGTCATCTATTCAACTACTCTGCTTATTTAGCTTATTCTGTTAATTTCTGATCTCTTCAGCTATTTCCTTCATATTTCAGCTGTTTTTCTGCTTTTATTTTCCTGCTTTCTTCAAACATCAGCCGTTTAAATTCAGCTCTCACAGTTTGGTGATGAAACCTCTTCAGCTGCGTTCAGCAACGAGCATCCATACAGGAAATTAATTTCTCTGGTTATGAAATTATTCTGCGTCCATCAGTAAACTCACTTGACATCTTCTCCGTAGTGAATCTGCATTTCGTCCGTCAGCAGCGAGCAGGCGTACCCGATGTTTTCTGCCGTTTCTGGTGATGAATAAAAAGAAAACAGGATTTATTTCGGTGCGTCTCCATTTCTTTAGTATTTTAGACGACGCGTCGTCTTCGATCCAGCTCCCTCTGCAGCGTGACGTGACCGGCACCTTTCTTATCTCCGGTCAGGACCCAGATCTTGATGTCGGCCTTGGCCAGTTTGGCAATGGTCTCAGGAACGCCGTCCTGCAGCTTGTCCTCGATGGCCGTGGCTCCAATCAGCTAAAATTCAACATTTTTAAAGTTTTTATGAACAAACTTCTGTTTTCTTGCTGAGCTCTTTGTTTGGTATTGTTTTCCACCCACCATCAGGTTGGTCTCGATCTCTTCGTACACCCGGTCGAGGGCGGCGTCGCGGTCCACCATGGTCACCTGGGCGTCCTTGTGTCTCCTGGACCAGGACTCGTACTCGCTCGCGCTGATGTCTTTGTAGCACAAGCACAGCGTCCGCAGGGTCTCGTTGGCAAACATCTGCGAGACAAAAACTCCAGATGATCCGTTTTCACCAAACAGAACGAGCGGTACCCCCGCCCCCCCAATTCGCTGAGGGGTCTGAACAGAGAATCAAGTAAACCTAAATTTTTATTTTTTTTTCATTTAGCCTTTATTTATCCAGGTTAGTCTCATTGAGCCACGAGAACTCATTTTCAAGAGAGACCTGTTTAGGGAGCAGATGGTGGGGGTTAAGGGCCTTGCTCATGGGCCCAGAGTGGGGCGAATGAGGGTTAGGGTTAGGAGCAGGAGTTAAACTGGAGAACAGAGGGAGGTGGGGTTTTCAGGTGCACAGTGACGCATCATGCAGAGTGGAGGGAGTAATTTTATCCACTGCCAGACTCAAAGGTGGAGCCAGGGGGTGGCCAGTGGTGGCCACAGATTAATGATCGGCCACTCCAAGGGCCACCCCAATCACTGGAGAAAACTCTACTTTACAGCAATAAAAGAACTAGAAAGCAAATAAACTGCCCGTTATTTCCTTAAACAATAGGGGTCGGTTTACATATGTATGGTGGCAGCCATCTTGGATTTTGATGTGAAAACCTAATAAACAGTGAGCTTTCTTACACCTCGATGCACCCACATACCAAAATGGAAACTGACACCTCACTTGTTTTTGAAGTTGTGCTCACAACGTGCACGGACAGAGAATTTCAATTCCTCCTCTTCGCTTAAAATAAAAAAAATCCTCCTGTGGTGGAAGACCAATTTAAAAAACGGCGTCATGTGGACTCACATCCAAAGCGTTCTGGGTGCTCTCTCTGTGTCTGGAGTTCGGGGACAGTCGCTCGTAGATGACGGTGTCGGCTCCTTTGCAGTACAGACGAATCCGGCCATCGGGGAACTTCACTGAAACAACAAGACGGAGGCGGAGCTTTAGAGACGGAGGTGGAGCTTTAGAGACAAAAGCGGAGCTTTAGAGACAGAGGCAGAGCTTTAGAGACAAAAGCGGAGCTTTAGAGACAGAGCTTTAGAGACGGAGGTGGAGCTTTAGAGACAAAAGCGGAGCTTTAGAGACAGAGGTGGAGCTTTAGAGACGGAGGTGGAGCTTTAGAGACAAAAGCGGAGCTTTAGAGACAGAGGTGGAGCTTTGGAGACAGACCTTTAGAGACAGAGCTTTAGAGACAGAGGCGGAGCTTTAGAGACAGAGGCGGAGCTTTAGAGAGAGCTTTGGAGACAGAGGCGGAGCTTTAGAGACAGAGGCGGAGCTTTAGAGACAGCGAGTTTCGACCCTGAACTCAACGAATTAAAACTTCTCGTCACAGCAGTTCGGTCTGATGTTTTCTGAATGGAAACATTTCTTCCAATAATCAACATTCAGTGTTCTTCTTCATGGCACATGGGCGGTACTGAGAAAGTAATACATGTAAAACCTGTTGGAGCCCGAACAGAACAAGAACCAAACAAGAATCTAATTTCCATCCCATTAAAAAGTCATCCTGATTGAACTGATAAAATTACAGAACAAACATTCTTCCTGATCGTCCACAACGGGGTGCTGTAGCACGCTGTGCACCCCCAGTTCTTAAAAACTTTTGATAGTCTCATTTTGTTTCACAGGCTTTTTTTTAAACTACTAGTTCTGTCGGTTATATTTAGTTTTATTTGCACATACGTCATTTATCAGTCTTACTTTTGTCTGTTAAAATTCGTGTTTCTCTTTTGAAGTTAACGTTAAACAGTAAATATTCATTAATTCAACCTTTATTTAGACAAGTTAGTGCCATTGAGCCTCGAGGACTCATTTACAAGAGAGACCTGGTTTCAACAAAGATTTCACCCAAATATAAACGTTAAAAACTGATTAAATGAGTTTGGGTGTTTTTAGCTTTGTTTTAGGGCTGCTTAAAATAAACACCAACTTATTTCTGCAAGTTTCAGCTTTTTCTACTATTTTAGCTACTATTTAGCCGTTTTATGCTAATTTTAGCTTTTTCAGCTAATTCCACATTTTTTGCACTCATTTAAACTTTTTTATGCCTAATTCAGCTAAAATGTGCCATCTCAACTTTCTTCTGATAATTTCATTTTTCTTTTTTTTCCCATTTACCTTTATTGATCCAGGTATTATTGATCCAGGTATTATTGATCCTGGTATTATTGATCCAGGTAGTCTCATTGAGCCACGGGAACTCATTTTCAAGAGAGACCTGTTTAGGAGCAGATGGTGGGGGTTAAGGGCCTTGCTCATGGGCCCAGAGTGGGGCCCATAATTTAAGTTTCTTTCTGCTTTTTTAAACTACTTTTCAGCTTTTTGTTGGATTGTGTACCTGGATTATTGAGCATGGACTTTGTTACTTTTCAGCTGTTTTTGCTCATTTCAGCTTTTTTCAGATCATTTCCACTTTTTTGTGCTCATTTCTGCTTCTTTCAGCAAACACGTGCTCTTTCTGCTTTCTTCTGCTAAATTAAGCTTGTTCTAGTTTTCAGCTACTTTTTAAAATTTTGCAAATCTTAGTCAATTTCAGCTGTTTTCAGATAAATTCAAGTTTTTCATGGCAACTTCTACATTCATCCTATTTAACTTCTTTCAGCTCATTTTAGCTTGTTATACTCCTTTCAGCTTTTTTCTGCTAATTTCAGCATTTTCTACCTTTTCAGCTACTATTTAACTGTTTTTTGTGCTAAATTTAGCTTTTTCAGTGAATTCCACATCTTTTAGCTCCTTCCACATCCATCTGGTAGATTAAGCATCTTCCTGTCTTTTCAGCTATTTTTCAGCTATTTACTGTAAATTTCAGCTTTTTTTAGCTAATTTCCTATTTATTGTTCTCATTGCTGCTTATTTAAACCTAATTCTGCAAATCTATGTTCTTTCTGTCTTCTTCTAATTTAGGCTTGTTCTTCCATTTCAGCTACATTTCATCATGTTTTTAGCTAATTTCAGCTGTTTTTCAGCAAGTTCTTCTTCAATGAGCATCCACTCTGCATTTTCACGGGAAATTTAATTTCTCTAGTTTAACTCTGTTTTTGGTCTTTGGTAAACTGTAGCCTCAGCCGGCTCCATTTGGCCCATGGGTCATCAGTTGATAATCGCTGCTTTAAAATAAACATTTTAAGCCAAAATGGAGCAAATCATGACCTGGAGACTGAACCTATTCCAACTTCGGCCTCTAAATCCTTCAACGAAAAGACAATTTGAAGCAAAACGTTTCAAACGAGAAGCGTTTACATCAGCCTCAAGACACAAACAGTTCTGATGTTTTCGTTTGTTGTTAGTGAAGTCGCTGTTTCCGGTCTTTGTGTACAATATATATAAAAAAATATATATATATCTCGAGTTCTTGTGAATGTTTCGGTGACTTACAGACAATCGACATGCGCTTGCGGTCAGAGTTGAAGTCGAGCAGCGCCAGCATCTCGTAGGTCGCCTCGTTCCCCATTTCTGAGATGGTGATGGTGTCCTGTGTACGAGACAGAAAGACGAATCCGAAATTCCTGGCGGCGGTCACCAGGGCGCCCTCATCGGGCGACGCAGCTTGGTACACCAGCTGGCCTGAAACGAAGCGTAAAAAAACATCCTTTTTATTTTGTTTAATCACTTTATTATTTTATTTTAAATAAAACTGTAGTTTGTTACCATCGTTGTTTTCCACCATGATGGTGTGACAGAGGGACAGCAGTTTGAAGAACTCCATGGCGTCTTTGTCCTTCTTGGATTTTACGTTGGTGACCAGGAAGTGATCCTCAAACGTGAACTTTTTGTCGGCGTGGCGGTTCCAACTCCAGTCCACAGGCTGACCAAAAATCAAATCATCAAAGTTATATTTCCTCTTTGGTTAAATAGGACTCTTTGTAGTTTTATCTACTGCAGGTAAGATACTGATTGCTCCACACAACTCCATTGAATTAAATATTTCTCAACCAAGGAGGAATTTACAATATCAGCCAATAAAAGCTTTGAAATTAAATCGAAGCATAAACTAATGTTTAAATGAATTTAGGTAGATGTTATAATCTAAGTGTTAACCGATAAATTACCTTTATTTTTTCCACAGACACTCCTTCAGCTGTGGTCGGGCCACCTGTGAGAAGAAGCAGAACTGGAAAGTCAAAAATCTGCAAACCCACAACACAACACGTCTAAAATCTCACCTGTTTTATGACGTTTAACACTGTCATTTAATTTATTATCCCATTGTTTCTCATCGTGTTTTTTTATGTTTTAATTATATCATGTTCTTTTTTTATTTTATTTTATTTGCGTCAGTCAAAGAGCCAGTCAAAGCGTTAGTCAAAGAGTTAATCAAAGAGTTAGTCAAAGAGCTAGTCATCAAAGAGCTAGTCATCAAAGAGTTAGTCAAGGAGTTAGTCAAAGAGCTGCTCAAAGAGTTAGTCAAAGCGTTAGTCAAAGAGCTAGTCAAAGAGCTAGTCAAAGAGCTAGTCAAAGAGCTAGTCATCAAAGAGTTAGTCAAAGAGCTGCTCAAAGAGTTAGTCAAGGAGTTAGTCAAGGAGTTAGTCAAAGAACTAGTCAAAGAGTTAGTCCAAGAGTTATTTGGCCTCATAGTCAACAACGAAGGTAGCCACATTTTCAGCAACTGAGATAACCACAGATCGCAACTCATTTAGTTAGACAAAGTTACACTGTCACAGAGTTAGTCACAGAGTCAGTTCAAGGGTTATCAGCAGAGTTCTAGATAACTATAGAACATGTCCATTTAAAATAATTTATTTGATTAATAAACTTGAAATTGGTTTTTAATAGTCCAACTCGGATGCTTGTTTGAACCTTTAAGTCGTGACTTCATTCGCTCCATCAGTGACAAACAAACCAGTAGAAAATCACCACGTCAGGTTTTTATGGCCAAGTGAAGCTTGTCGGTACCGTAGCTGCGCCCTGCGATGTTGCACTTCTTGAACTGCATGATGTTCTGCGTCAGAGTGCCCGTCTTGTCGGAGAAGATGTACTGGATCTGACCCAGCTGCTCGTTCAGGGTCGTAGTCCGAGCCTGCGCAGAGTTAATGGAAACAAAGTGAGCAAAGGAAGCTTCGTTCGGTTTGGTTGTAAATGAAGTTGTTGGATGTAACGAACCTTCGCCGGCGTGTCTTTCTCTCGATAAAACATCTGCAGGTCCCAGTTGATGAATTTACTCTGGCCCAGACGAATCACCTCCACGCTGCAGACACACAGAAAGAGGAAACTGTTTACACGGAACTGGATCCAGACCAAACCAGAAAATGACGAGGTTTAGTTTGATCTATCTTCCAGAGACCAGACGTGGTTCACCGACCTGACGTAAAGAGAAATGGGCACCATGGTGTTGAGGACGATGATGTACCCCCAGAAGCTGAGGAAGCCTCTGTAGTCGGCCGACTGGTTTTTACCGTCGTAAAGATACCAGGCCTTGAAGCCGATGTCCTCGTACCAGAATTTGTGTCCGATGGCCAAACCAGCCGCCACCAGGACGAGCAACGCAAAGATCTACGAAACCAGACGAGGAACGGTCGGACCTGTGGTTTCTGCACGCTTATCGTTTTATTTTCAGAATTACAACGACGAGGCTTCGACCGGGGGCAGCAGGTAAAACTCACCGTATAAACCATGTAGTTCATCAGCTCGTCGATTTTGGTCCGTTTGAATCTCGTTTTGCCGCCGTTCCTCATGATTTTAGTGTCGGCTCCTAAAACAACAAACACGAGCTGAACGACAGCCGAAGACGATAAAGGCGGTTTTACAGCTAAGAGTAGCCAAAGGCTAGCTGAAATCCCAAAGTAGATGCAGTGTAGCTTAATCTAAAGTAGCCTAACAGTAGCTAAAAGCTACAAGTTGCATAAACAGACAACACAAGTAACTGAAGTATCTTTGAGCGAACGTTCTGACCTGCGAAGATGACGAGTCCCTGACAGACGTCCGTGTTTCGGATCTTGCAGCCTCGGAGCAGCATGTTGTCCAGCTCCAGCGGGTACCGCTCCCCGTCCCACAGCATCGTCCCCGTGAATTTGTCCAGACGGTTGTTGGGCTCCTCGCACTCGATCAGAGCTACGAGACAGAAGGTGGAGACGCAAAAATGAAGCTGTCCTCATGGACAAACCAAGCGTCTTCTGGAGACGAGTTCTTTGATTGGACGAGACGAAGACTGAGACGTTTGGACACCAAGACAAGACGGATATTTGGAGACGTTCAGACCTGAGAACACTGAGCCAACGGTCAGGCATGGTGGTGGTAGCATCATGCTGTGGTTCTAGTCTAAGAAGGACCATGTCCTAATCTCTTCAACTCAACCATCTGGTTCTGGACTCTGTTCTTGGGATCAGCAGCAAGATCCAGAAATCTGTCTCCACAGCCAGTTTATCTGGGAGGACTCTAATGTATTCAACATATTATTATTATTATTATTATTATTATTATTATTATTATTATTATTATTATTATTATTATTATTATATAACTTCTCATGAGATCTCTGAAGGAGAGTCCAGCTACCCTGCAGAGAAAACTCATTTAGACCTTTTGGATCCAGGATCTGGTCACTTCAGTCTCTATCCAGAGTTCATGACCACAGGTGAGGGTAGGAACGTAGACCGACCGGTAAACAGAGCTTTGTGTTACAGCTCAGCTCCCTCTTCACCACAATGGACCGGAACAGAGTCTGCAATACTGCAGAAGCTGCACCGAATCTTGATCTCACGCTCCATTCTCCCCTCCCCATGAACAAAACCCAGATGCTCGAGCTCCTCCACTGGAGGCAGAACCTCAGAGGACAGTCCACCTGAGACTGAGGACAATACTTGTTTGGACAGAAGAAAGAAGCTCAATGTCAATGCTGAAGGTCTGGGGGCTTTAGCTTCTGGAGACAAGGCCTCTACCCACGCAGGCTCCACCTGAAGGACCTGCAGGGCGGGTCCACACAGGTCGGGCGCTCAGCCTCAGCGAGGCTCACTTTTCTCACGTTTGAGCCGTTAATAAAAGATTTACCGTCAAACTGAGCCAGCTGCTGCTCCTCCTGGAGTCTCTCGTCCGTCACCCGGAGGCCCATCTTGAACTTCAGGTTGGTCTCTCTGCGACAGAAACCAACAAACAGTCAGAGCCACGTTCACATGAACCCAGTCCTCCTCGAGACAGGACGGGTTCGAACAGACGTCAGTTTAACGAGGAAAGTTCATTCGTGATTCAGACTCGTTGGCTGTGAAAGTTTCTACAGTGAAGACAGAATTAATGTCACGGTAAATTAACACATCACAGCAAACTCTGAGCTCACGAGCTTCAGCTCCGACAACGATGAAAACAGATTTTATGTTCCGGCGCCTCAGACAGAGGCAGAGCGGCTCTTACCCGTCGAGCTCGGCCGTCTCCACGTAGCACAGACTGTTTGGGTTGGAGCTGGACAACAACAGGATGTCAGCCTGGAGAAAACAACAACAACAACAGGATGTCAGCCTGGAGAAAACAACAACAACA